TTACGGCCACAACTCTGAATGGCCGCATCGACAATGGAGGTGGAGAATATGGTCCACTCGAACTCGATATCTCCAACCTCCCCCGGGATCTGGTCAAAGCTCTGCCGGAGGCGGGAGTTGAAGATCTCTCTGACAGGGGATTCTGCTAAACATTCCCAACAGACCCTCACTGGATCTTGATGAATGAATTATTCCAGTTGAAAACTTTTACTAGTGAACACTGTATAATTTGTTCCAAGCATAATGACATAACAGCGGTCGATGGAAGCCAAAATCATCAGCCATGGAGGCTGGATTCAAAATCACACTGAAAATCACAGGCTCATCCATTTTCAATTTCATCCAGTTTCATCACAGCAACTCACAAGGTGACTCAGAAGTGTGCATAGCCCCACGTGCCTGTATGCACTCTCGACAACATCTGGTCATGCTCCTGATGAGTAGGCGGATTAGCCCAGGGGGGTCTCCTCCCAGACCTGGATCAGGGCATCACTGAGCTCCTGGACAGTCTGTGGTGGCACTTGGTGGCGTCAGATGCACTAATACATGATGACAGTTTGGTCAGCAACATGCACACCAGTAGCTGCTGGAGGTCATGTTGTAGGGCTCTCACAGTGCTCCTCCTGTTCCTCCTTCTACAAAGGAGCAGACACTGGTCCTGCCGGTGGGTTGTTGCCCTTCTACGGCCCAGTCCAGCTCTCCTCGTGTAATGGCCAGCCTCCTGGTATCTCCTCCATGCTGTTGGAGACACAGCAAGCCTTCTCACGACTGCACAGATGTGCCATCTTGGAGTAACTGGCCTACCTGTGCAACCTGACTGGACTGCAGGTACTGCCTCATGCTACAGGTAGTGACAAGGACACTAGCACAACACAAACCTTCGGAACGATCAGTCAGGAAGGATCAGCATGATCACCACATGCAGAACCAGTCCCTTTTTTGGGGGTTGTCTTGCTTTTGCCGCTCCACTGCACCTGTTGTCACGTTCATTTACACCCAAGTAGATGAAACTGAATCACAATCACTTCTAGTTCCTAAATGGACAGACTGATATCCCTGAAGTTTTACTAACTTGGTGTTCTACTAGAATGATCACTACTGCGAATATTTTAATCATTATGAAGAATCAGTTTTAAGAAGTGATTTTGAGAAATTCTTACATAGATGGACAAAATTCAGGAAATGGTTTGGTCTTAATGTTTTTAATTATATTTAGTCATTTAACTGTCCAGTTATATTTTCTAGTTCTGTTCTAAATTCTATTTTACAGTATATCTTCTTATTAAACTGTATGTCCCTGTTTTGGTTGCTTTGGTTTTTCGCTGTCTTGTACCTTTTGTTTTGGCCCTTTTCCGCTTTCATCTCACCTCACCTGTTCTCGCTTAACCCCTGTTGTAATCATCACTCATTGTTCTTACCTGCCCCTCATCAATCTCTCTCAGTTGTTCATGCTACATATACTCCATTTGTCACTCGCAGGTTCATTACTCTATGTGACTCATCCTACACTACATTATTGTACTACTGCTATAGTTGCACTCTGCCACATATCCAGTCCTGTTGCCACGTGGGATCATCTCTAGAGACTCCTGGCTCGCTCCTTGCTGGATCTAAAAGAAAAAGAAACCAGTCAAAGACAACTTGTTGAGCTGCTAACTGTTGATTACCTCCTTTGGTCCTCCTGGTATCTGCCACCTTCTGCCTACTTGCCTGTATGCCCTGGCCCACTGGTCCTCACCCAGTCTCACCTGCACACCACGGCCCTCAGGTCCCTCGGCTTACTGCTCAGTCCCTGCCTCCTCTTTGGTTCACTCGACATACCAGTGTTCTATTAAATACACTTTTTTATGTCTCATT